AATAGCCATCAAGTGGCGAGAGACTGTACATAACCAAAAATACGCAATTCGTCAGCAGTATTGCGAGGTACAAATAAGATCAAATTCCTTATTATTTTGTACTTTCTGTACGTAAAATATTTTTTACTTTACAGATAAACGCTTAGCTTGTTTATAGACCCTTGTTAAAAACAAATTGGATATGTCTGCAACATTATTATTCTAAGAAAAGAAGTTGGCTATCAGCGTACAGTCAAACACAATAGTGTGTGTAAACACAATAGCCCTTAAAAACTGAAGGTCTACACGGCACACGCATCAGTTTCCGTAGTTGACGTGTCCTGATCGTCTATTCTAAGATTAATTTATGATTTGGAAATACATATGTAAGTTTGTTTTTCAAATAAGTAGTTAGTATTTTCAACTGTAAGTAAAACTTAAAAGAAATTTAATTTTGTGCAAAAATTACCTTTGTAAATTTTGAAAGTGACAAATTTTTGGGTGTCTATAAAATGCATTGATTCTGAAGCATGTCCATAAATTAATTCAAGTGTAATTAGAAAATGCCATTTTAAGTTTTGTTTGTTTTGTGAAAATTCAAATAGGTATATGGTACCTTAAACATTACAAACCAGAGGTTTCCAAACTTTTTTGTCTAGCAGACCACGTGCCAATTTTTCTGTTTTACGTAGTCCCTCTACCTTTTTAATATGTTTACTTTAAATGCGTTTTTAACTAACGACACAGTGCTACTTGGTAAGTTTAACTGTTTGGTAAGAAAGTTTAAAAACCCCATGTTATGTTTTATACATTTATAACGGAATATGTTATTTATAATGAAATATGTACTTCAATTTAAATGTCTTAGTCTTTTTGTCTTGTTTAGTTAGAAACTATCAATGTAATGTAGACTATTTCGTTTAGGGAAAGTCAAAATTTTAGTCACATCCTCAGTAAAACTCTTATTTTTCACATCCGTTGGTTGGTTGGAGTAGACCCCATCAAGGGTGTCGATATAAACCACTTTGGGAATCGTCGACTCTGTGTCCACAAGCAAAATAGACGCTACGAACGACGTCGCGGTCGGATACCAGCACATTACACCATACTAAACCTTGTACAAATATACCTATATATATAGATTGTTGAATTTAATGTAGTAAATCTAGTTATTGGTTCAAATACGCAAAAATATTTGACCATCAACTTCAAGGCTATTTTAGCAGCAGTAGAACTTTTTGTGAAAGAGTTGTCTAGGAAAGTACTGCCACCTTACCTATTTCTACCGCCAAGCAGTAATGTGGGCATTACTGCTTTCCGGTTTTGAAGAGTAAGTAAGGGTGGTGGTGAAACTACAGGCACATGGGACTTGTCAACTTTATGTCTCAGTGTGATGGGCGCAGCAACTGTTATGGATAGACGTGTCGCTTACCACCAGCCGCACGCCTTGTTCGTCCCGTCACCTGAAAGCGTAAAAAAATATAGAAAATGAACAAAAACCAGGACATTATCATTAAGTACAAGTCGCGTTCAGCCTCGGCTGTCGTGATATTGCACTTTTTGCCGCCATTGTCGTAATGGGCCAATATCCCTGTGGCCTTCGAGTATTGGCTGAATACCACGCGTTTATTATGTTGTTGTACGTATCATGATCCATTGTGCAGGGTCACTTATAGGTAGAGATTTTTATGCCCCAACTGCCACATTTCAATAATATGTGAATAAAGTACCTGTATTATAATTTTGTCGTTTAATAGATAATTCATAAACGTTCTAACAAAGTCGTTAGTAATTTCTTAAGTATTTATTGACAGATAGAAAACGTAGAAAACAGCGTAAAATATTACAAGTTCTGAAGAGTCTATACGACCTCAAATAGCTTTAGTTGATTTTGCATACCAGTAAAAGTGTTGAACTTTGGAAAAAAATATATAGAATAATTTGAGGATATATACTGATTACTATATGTATAGTGCGAAAACACGATTCCTAAAAATTTTTACTCAAGAAAAAAAATCTCAAACTGACTTCGAAATCTTGCAAGAAAACCGCTGTATGTATTCAATAGTTACTTTACATATACCAATGATTTTTCTTTAATTACGTTTGTAAAAAAATAAATTCCGAAATAAAGCCAGTGTCCCTGCAGCTCGACATAAGCAAAATGAACCGTATTAGTACGGGGAAAATTTGAATTCGAACTGAGGTAATATCGACTCTTATAGGTCACTCAAGAAAATAGTAACGTGTATGATACTACTTTTTTCTTTGTTCTTGGCCTTTCGCTGTAAGCGTTTCAGCCACTTCGAGGTTTTTGATTTGTCTCGGGTCTCAGTATGGTCTCAGTGTGGTATGGAATGCGATAAAAGAGATCGAGTTTCTATAGAAAGAATTTCTCCAAAGAGGTAAACAGAGATTTTATAAACACCACGTTTGATAATACTAAAAAAAAGACAATTGCGGTTTTTAATTTACGTTATATAATAATTTCTTTGCAAAAAGTATTTGTTGAAAGATAGAATGACAACTTACAATAATGGATAGCAATATCAAAGGATGTTTGTTAACGTGTGTTATTTATTGTCTTAACAAATTTTTCACAAAAGTTTCATCATCTCTATATTAATCATTAAGTTTGCCTAATCGATCGTCAGTGATATCTATGTTAGTTACCTACTTAATCAGTATAAGGATATAGACTACATCTTGTTAAGTTTTCATAGACCAATGTATAGGTACCTACTTAGGTAGGTTAGTAAAGGTTTATTGGTAATTTTAATGATGGTATCTTTCTTGTAAACAGTAAATAATGGCTGACAACAATGACCGCATCATCATTCCCGACGACGTTGAAGCTGTGAAGGAGGAAGCTGTCAAGTCCAACGTTGTACAGGATGGCGACAGCAAGTGTGTTGGGAAACATTCAGCTGGCACGGGTAACCCCGAAACGACATTAAGGTGTACCGTGTGTGTACCTCCGAATTGCCCACCCGGTTACCAACTGGGAATATATGGCAAATGTCACGAAATCATTGATTAGAATCTAGAATTCTTCTTTTACCTTACAACTTAATTTACTCTAAGTTTTATCTGCTATATTGTCATTTTTAACTTTTTTTGATCCCTAATCTCTATAAAAGAGATCCGTAGCTAGTAGTGGAAGGTACATGGGTTGATACAGTCTTAATTCCGCCCATAAATTGATTTTACATAAAGTGATTTTATTTCATTTGTTTATTTCTGTTATGATTGTAAAAGAATGCATAATTCATCACGGAGTATCAAATACACTGCGTACTTACATATTATGTACTCTGTCAAGGTTATTAAAAAGTGATTAAAAACATGTTTTTATTATTTTTCTTTTGATCATGCAACATTACTTTTTCATGAAAAGAACATTTCATTCTGTATGTTTCCGAGTTGTCACGTGGTATGATAAATAATATAATAATGTAAGTGTTTAATTAATCTAAACTGGTCTAGAAGAACACCTTAATTGTTAGTAAAATTCAGTTGAAGCTTGTACACACAAAGAATTATATTTATGCAGTTATTTGTTACATACAAAAGTGTGAAATAATAGTGTTTTCATAAACAAACTAATTCTCAAACAAGACGCAGTTAGTTTTTTTTATTAATAAATAAGTGAGCATTTAACTTTCATCTCACCTGATGGAAAATGACAATGAAGTCGACGATGGAGCATGCACACCTAAATAATGTACATTCACTCTCGCCTTGAAAAGACCCAAGTTATAACGTTCAGGGAACAAGTCTGCAGGCAGGGAATTCCACTCCATAGCCGTTCGCCATACAAATGTGGAAGCGTAACGCTTGGTGCGAATCCTTGGAATATCCACAACAGAGGGGTGGCACCCCAGCCTACGTCTGGTCCCCCGATGACGGAAAGAGGAAGGCGGAATTAATTCGTGTAATTCCCTTGCACACTCTCCATGATATATCCTGTAGAATAGTACATACATAGGTACATATATACATTCATATCTTCACGCCTGTCTCCCACCGGTGTAGGCAGAGACTATGGACCGCCATCTGACACGCTCCTGACAAACCTCCTTCACCTCGTTCAATTCATTCTCATCAATCTCTTCATATACACCCATTTATTCTTGCTACTTTTGACCTGGCCTTTTTAAGGATATCCCCAATTTGATTGAGATTTGTACGCCGAGGTCTACCTCTCCTCACGCCTCCACTCACATACGCTCTATAAATTGTAGTCCAACCAACCAACCAACCATCATTCATTCTTTCTACTTATCGAAACCATCGAAGTATCCCCCTCTCTGTCCTGATCACTACATAATCTTTCAAACCACAACGCTCTCTTTTACTACACTGTACCTATTATAGTAGTTATTTGTGGTTTCTACTACGGGATAATTTTGAAGTACCTAATGTGGCCACTCAGTGCACACACACATTATTTTATCTACCTACTTTACTTTTAGGTATGTAGGTACGACATTTTGTTTGTATAAATTCGAATATATCATGTTAAACTTGTTTAGAAAAAGTTCTTAAACGTGTTTAGAATTTATATCGATTTTCAAAATTAATTTTGAATGAATTTGATATTTAAGTTTGAAATATTAAATATTTATTTAATATTTTAGTTTTAAACATTAAATATTTATTTAATATTTAAATTAAACTAGTAGCTATATATGCAAATTTAAACAAACAAACGGATACACCAAAAAAGCACAGGTTCGTTTTATCTACCTAATTTAGGTGGCAATTTTTATTGTTTAAGTATTCCAATATATTATATTGAAATACTAAATAATATTTCAGGTTACTACACTCGAATATTAAATAATAATATTCTAGAATATTATAATAATGAAAATTGCTACCAAAAGCAGGTAGAAAAAACTAACCTGAAAATTACTCTAAAACGAAGCAATAATGAAACAAAAATTTTTCTAATAATTAACATCATTTACTTTAAAATATTCATATAATAATTATAATCATACCGGGCCTAAAACTTTTCGTGTCAATCAAAACATAGGGTCTAAGATAAAAAATTAAATATTATTTCTTTCTAGAACCCTGCGTCTCTTAAAATATTGTTTTGATATTTTCCTACGTACGAAAATTATAAATAACCCAGCGTAGCGTAAGTTTTAACAAATGGAGCTTCACTCTCACAGGAATTTCTGAAAAAGAAAACAATTGTTTAACTTCCATTTATTGCACAATACATAATTAAACTATAGTATCCCACGGAGCAAATAGCGTCATCTAATTTTCACGAAATGATTATCACTAATTACTTGTACAGGCTTCTTACCTAGTTGTGGGTTCTTTTTGTTTTCCCAATACTTCAGGACCATTACACGCTCCATGGTCACGGATTGCCTGGACAGCGGCAGATGACAGCCTTAAGAGATGTCTGTCTACCCTTTTTAAATGGAGCGTGTAGCCGTTCCGAAATATTGGGAAAACAAAAGAACACAACGGTGGTAAGAAACCTGTAATTAGTGATAATCATTTAGTGGATAATCACGAAAGCTTTAAAATCTACAATCTTCACGATGTAGTTCTAGCACCAAACAGTTTCAAGGTAAGCAGTAAGTAAGGCATATAAAACCTTACTTAGTGATCTTAAAAACTAGTTAGGTACAATAATAAAGCGCAATCATTATGCATATTGCAAAAAAATACTTTTTTTTCTGATAATAATTGTAATCGAAGAAACTGGTTACCAAGAGCAGTAACTTACACAAAGTGCCAAAGAAGTATAGTTCACGATAATACTGAACAAAATTCACTAAATAACAATATTGAATATTACAATGTTTTACTGCTATGATATTTAATTATTTTTTGTGAAATTACTCCACTAGTTTATTATAATTATTAATACAAAGAACGAAAAGTAACAAAAATTTCTTCGATCCGGTTCGACTACGAATTTTTCTATGTGCTTGTTGCAGATCTTTGTTTTCGGTTTTTAGCGACTTTTATGCCGTAGCGCCATCTGTGAGAAATCTATTTCTTCACTAGCCAGGTACTTTTACAACTACCAGCAGCTGACTAGAGACGTCGCTATAATAATTGTAATTTTAAAGTTTATTGAATGTCACGATGTTTGCTCGTTTACCTAGTGTTATTGTATTTACCTAGAAATGATAACCGATTGATAAATGGTTTCATTGCGATGTGATAAGCCGTGACGGGCGTCGATCCCTGCCGAAGGACATTTTCAAGTACCAATTGCTTTGTTCAATATCCTTCAGCTAGTGTCACGTTAAGCTTGCTTTATTATTCACTGTACGCTTAAAGTAGGCAGGCAGATATTCGCACATACATATAAGAAAAGGTTATTTTCGGGAATTAGCAATAATTTATTTTGTTCAAATAAAAACTAGTTACTCGTGTAATATTATGTAAACTCTGTGCTGATTTTAATAAACCGTGCAGTTTTTTTTATAAGAAGAATCGAAGTGAAGGACAGAATCACAAGTGTACTTAGTTCATTCCAAGCGAAAGGGCAATCTAGAGAAGGGCAAATAAAAACAAAACTTTAAATAATGCAATTAACTATATTTAAAAATTTATACTTAAACGTATAATAATAATAAAATTATATTAATCAGACAACACAAACACAATGCATATTCAAAACTCTGTACATATTATACAGTCATAAACAAAAATTTTCGATACCTTAGCTGCAATCAAATACGAAGATCAAAACACATTCGAGAGTGTATTCAAGGACAACTTTAGGGAAGTAAACCCATCACGATTGATGTCTCGCGCCAATGTGTCGCGTGTTCTTGTAAAAAGCCAACTAAAAGGATGCTCAAGCACATTAATGTGTTTATACTGGGACTACTTCCCTAAAGAGCAGTATTGTCATGCCGAATCCGTTACATAAGTGCGTAACAAATATCACTCATCTCTCAAACAGCATAATCACTACATACACAGCAAACTAACGTGCTAACTACTGAACTGAGATCCATAAGATCGAAACAAACAATCCATCTACTACAACGCACATGTTAAAACTCACGAGTACTTACTCGTCCTCCCAGGGACAGATGTCGTTCCGCTTCTTGCGCTCCTCGAGTTCGCTCTTATTATCACGCTTAACAATATTGGATTCAGAAACCGACGACAGTTCGTCTTTGTGAGCAATTTGTTTCATCGCGTCCGACTCGGACGCCGCCTTGGAATCTCCCGAGACCCTTTGCACAGGCGCCGAAGGCACTTTATCTACGTTGTCGTCGTCCACCCCGGTGTCCTCCCAAACGGCCAGGGGAGCTACCGGCGGTACCGGTAGTCGGCCCGCTTCGACGCTGATGTTCGCCGAAGAAAGCGCAGGCGTAGCCGCACTCGTGCTGGCCACCGAGGAGGCTGTGCTGCAAGTCGCTATAGATGTCTCCGCCGCACTCGTCGGGCTCGCTCGGCCCGTCGAGATCGTGTTTGGCGGTTCCACCGTGGGGGCCATCTCAATCGGTCCGCCTCTTTTGGGACCACTTCCTGGAAGATCGGCGATTTTGCTACTATCTTTACATGAGGCCGGACTGATTTCTTTTATCGTTGACGGTTCTCGGGATAAAGTTCCTCGCACTGAAACGACTTCATCCTCGGGGGATATCGGTCGTTTGGAGTCCTTAGAATCGGACCGTTCGACAATTACGGGCGACGCGCAACCGGCCTTCCCAGCGGTCTCCACACGCACTTCCACTTTCGAAACGTCACTTCTACAGCTATCACAACTAGGAGGTAGCACAGTTTTATCGCCGGCTTGCGCCGGCACAGGCGCGGGCGCCGAGGACGCAGACAACGTGGACGTGGGGCTCGGCGCGGAAGCGTCAGCGATGGGTGTGGGCTCGCGCGGTTCCGTGGGCGTAACATCCACTGAAGCGAACACCGACGAAGGCTCATCAGAGTGCACCAGAGAACGACGGTCTGGCGAGCCCGTGCCGGCTGGTGACTCGTCGTCGGGCGCCGAGCTGACGCTGATAGTGGGCGTGGGGTGCGGGTGCGACGCTGGTGCAGGTGCAGGTGCAGGCGCGGGTCGTGGCGGTCTCGGCGAGTGTGGCGGAGAGCCAAGAGGCGCCAGGTGGCGCGGCTCCACGGCCGATAACCGACGCAGCGGCGGCGGCGCGCCGCGCAGCCCGCCGTCCAGTGTGCTCTGCTGCGGCAGGCGACGTCGTTCGCCCATCGGGCCCCCCACCACTACCGCCGCGCTCAGGTCAGAGGACGAACTGCCCGAATCTGCGGCGGAGTCTTGCCGCCGGCGTGTGGCACCGTACACTCCTTCCCGCGATGCGCTCTCCCACGGCAGTGCTTCGTCCACGCAATCGTCAAGAGGATCCCTACGAAAAGTCCACGATTGTAACAGTGCAGTATTATAGGAAGCGGGTTATCCACATTATTAGAAATTTGTAGGGGCTAACCGGAAGGGGATGTCGCAAAGGTTAGACTGAGAGTGACTGTGCGGCGGTGGGTCGGGCATGCGAGGTGGCTGCGCGGCGCAAACGGCCAGCTCGTGGGCCGAGCCAGATAGCGAGCGGTCAGAGCCGCGTCGGCGCGCCAGTACCACTACGCTGCCGCTCACGCCACTGACGGTCGTTGAACCAGGTTTTTTCTTTACTTGTCCCCCGAAGTTGAAAAACCTATCGACGAAATCATTATTACTCATTTTATGTTCCGTACCGTACGTACAGTACAGTGTAAAAAAATCTAATTGCAATATTAGTGCTTTTTTAGAGGACAGATTGGAGTCTATGCAGGAATACTAACTTTGCTTTCTTCTGATGAACGTTGCGACCCTCGGTGAGCAGGCGTTGGAAATGGTCAGATCGCACGAAACGCGGGTAACAGTCCTTCTTGAGCAGCAGCCCGTACACGTGGTCAGCGGCGTGATCCAACGCGTACCGTGACCCCGACCGCAGGCCCTCCGCAACCTTTTCCGCGGTCGCGCCGTCGATGTTGATCTCACAAGGCGCGCCGGGTTTTAGAAACTCCCTGCGGAATTAGTGAATCACTTTCACACCAACTCGTAAATGAAATACGTTACGTACGCTAAGATTGGCGTAGAACTCACTCGTATATCTCGTCAAGTTTGGTGGGTATTTGCTTGGCAGAGGAACGACGGAGGTCCATGACTGCGAGCCAGAAACGGATATTTTCATGCGAGTACTCCTTGCGCAGAAAGCTGGTGAACTCCTGCAGGCCGGTGGGGTCGGAAAGTAACTCTTCGATAGATAAAGCCCACCGTTGCACGCGTTTCTCGCTTGGCACTTCCACCCTGGTAAAAATAATGTAAACGCAATTTGGTGTAAATTCGTAACGAACCAAATAGATACCTACTGATCGCAAAAAGTGTGCCTTTTATTAATTATCGATGAACTGGTGAGTTAAATGAAATGAGCTGATAATTGAGTACTCACAGAGGACTGTTGATTTGCCAGAAGAGGGTATCATCAGAGATCCAAGGGTTGGAGGGCTGCGGCGCAGTAAGCCATGGATCGTATGGTGCGAAGGTCTCCGAATAGGCCAACAGGGCCTCGAGGGCAATAGAAGTCTTCACCCGCGTACGATCCAAGGATGTTTTCAAATGTTCAATCTGTAACATAAACATACGTAATTTTAGTAGTTGCTTTTTGTACTTTTGTTTCTATACCCATAAAAAAATTAATTAATGTTGTTACTGTCGTCACTTCCTTATATAATTGGTTGATGTGTATCACGATATGTTTCCCGTTTTATTTTTACGCATTTTGGTTTGAGAAATCGATTTGTAAGGATTAGGATTTTTTAGATAAGTTCATTTCTGTTGTAGTGTTGTGTATATACCTCGCGTTTTATTTGCTCGATGTTGCGGCGCTTAGGGCGCTGGTGTCTCGCGCGCACTGGGACAGGACAATGCTCCAAGGCACCAGGCTGCCCCGGCGGCGGTCGTGCCACACGCCAATACGCGCGCTCCTGGCTGTCCGACACGATTTTGTCACCTTTCTTGCGATCTTTCGCCAATCGAACCTATAAACAGTTCATTATAACATGTTAGATATCGAATAAGGAAGAGACCGTTTCATATACGATTATTTTCGTGGGAAATCTGTTTAGCGTGACCATTATACTCGTTGTGCGTTCTTAGTGAGAATCGCAGCGATTTTGATGATCTTTTCTTGCATAGACGTCTAAGGCTTTTACTGACCTGTTCCTCAGCCTGCATAGTGATGAAGTCCCATTTACCGGCGAGGTTCCTTTTGAGGTTGGCGAGGGCCTCTTGCTCGTAGTCCTCGAGGGCATGCCGCTGCTTGTTGCGCAGGGTGCGTTTCACGAGGTAGATGGCGTACTCAACGTTGTCAGGACCCAGTGAGGGCGCGTTGGAGCCGCCAGCGGCCACGCGCGGCGCCTGCCACGGCCAGTAGTATGGGCTCTAGAATCGTACATACACATTCATATGTAGCCAACTGTATGTCGTGCCTTATACTTTACACTTAAGACCGTGTTATACTTGATAAGGCACATGTTTGAATGAAAATGACTTGTCCGTTATATCAAATATATTTTTATTTCAATCTAAATGACGGTTTTGTACTAACATCGATACTTCCAATGAACACTACGCCAACTTTATTTTGTCATTTTGATCATTTTCTTTTATTTTTGTAAACAGCCATATTTATTTACTAATATTATGCTGCTCGAATTTTGTGAAAAAAAGAAAGGAATAAAAAACAAAGTTAGAATTAAAAACAATAACAACGAATTTTGTGAAAAAAAATAAAGAAAATGCAAATTAGGTAATATAAAAATTATTTCAAAAAAATATTTAATTTTCCGCATATTGAACAAAGGTGTGAATTGTATAAAAGAGGATAAGGATTGACTTTATGTGTGAATTTGAAATGTTATGTCTGAGATCGGTCGCTTATTCACGACAAACGTCTGCCACGTGTTAAATTTCATAATAATAAATACCTCTTATCAATTTATTAGAAAGTCAGGTATTTTGGGAATACCTATAAATTATTTATTGCACATAGTTACTTACTTGAAATCGATAAAGAGAAGAATCATCTTTCAATACGAGGTTTTTCAAATCGTTGACAGGAAAGAAGTACCCGTATTGGCAGAGTTGATTAGCTAAGTTTATTGCTTCAACTGAAATGGAAAACACAAAACACATTAGGAATATTAGACGAAATAAGTGTGTAAAATCTTGGACTGCAAGAAGATAAATATTAAGTTTATTTATGTACTTTAGAAATATTGTTAAAAGTAATTTAACAACGATAGTATAAGTATAAGTATTACGAAGTAGCTAAATTTGGGTATCTTAATATGGGATGTAATCGTTAAGTGTGCCCAGGCGATTATTCCATAAATAAAGAGATATCATAAACCTTTAAACAGACGTGAAAGTATGTTACATAATGAGTAAAACGACATCAATAACTTTTTTTAAATAAAACTAGGAGTATCCAAAATTTTAACGTGAAACGCTTCCATTCTTTAATATGACATTCGTAGAGAAAATTTAATTGACTTACAGAAGAGGTAACAGTAAGTTTACAGATAACGAAACTGCTATAAGTCACAAAACAATTATTCAGTTGTATAAAAACAAAGTGATGTGAAAGTAAGTACCTACTTAATAAAGCATTTCTACGATACGATAGTAAATGTACCATTTTTTCCCATACAACCATTAAACGCTTTAAAAGTTAAATTAAAGCGTTTAACATTCAAATTTTGGATATTTCTAGTTTTATTTTTAAAATATAGAAATAATCGTCTTGGCACACTTAACGATTTACACCCTGTATGGATAATGTTTGTAATTGGAAATTGAACCTACCATTACTAGTTTCATCAAGATTGAACCGATCCATTAGCCATTCGACAAGATCGTAACCTGAAAAAAACAACAACATTCACATAATTTTTTCACGGACTCAGAAAAGTTATTTTTAATCCCCGTCGCAAAAAGAGGGGTTATAAGTGTGAAGTAAGTGTATCTTCGGAAGTATGTATCTGTGGCATCGTGGCAAATAGATGGACTCGTTTCAAAACGTTTTTTCTTTCATTTGAAGGCTAATTTAACTGGGATTGTCCTAAGAACCAGAGAAGGTTCATTTGCTCAACTGTTTAAAGATCATCTCTTTTCCCAGTTAACATAGCTGCAGAGATCTCAGGTATAAAATGGATATTTATTTTATTTCCACTTGCCGATGAACTTGAAATTTGGTATTCTATGGAAATGTTCGACGATTTTTTTTTAATATAATATCAAGTGACGGGACGAACAAGTTGTGCGCTTGATTGTAAGCTATACAGTTGTCCATAACAGTCACTCAGAGATTTAAATCGCAAAGATCTGAGGGGTACTGCCAATGCGCCCGTCACCCTGAGACATAAGTTGACAAGTTCCATGTGCCTGTAATTTCACCAGCACCCTTACCCTTCAAAATTGAAACGCAGTAACGCTGACAGTAATGCTTGGCGACAGCAATAGGTAAGGTGGCAGTACTTCCCTGTACGAACTCTTTCACGAGGAGCTCTACTGCTACAAAAATATTACAATAATATGGTAATCTTGATCTGAAGCTGTAAGCCCGACAGTCAGTAGACTAGCCTATTCAATTACTTACGATACAATTATTATGGTTGGGTTCTTTAAATTGGCCTCAACAAGTTGTTAACTTACAGATGGTGACTTTATTGGCTTTTCTCGAGTAAGTACTTCCACTGTTTTGTACCGGGAATTGTTTAAGTTTTAATTTAAGTTTTCTTGACTTGTACTTATGCAAAATCACTCACAGCAATGGACGGGTCACTGCTGTGAACAACAAAAACATCAATGCTGTGCGACGTATGATCAAAACAGACAGGCATGTGACATACCACGAGATTCGGGCATCTTTAGGCATAGGCCAGAAACAAATACAATCAATACTACACAAACATTTGAGTGTGAAGAAGCTATGCTCTCGGTGGATCCCACACAATTTGACTGAGGCTCAAAAAACAGATCGCGTCACTTGGTGCAATGCCATGCTTGCCAGATTCAACGAAGGGGCGTCAAATTTGGTGTGGGATATAGTAACAGGTGACGAAACATGGATTTATAGTTACGATCCCTAAATAAAGCAGCAATGGAGCGTATGCGTCTTTCAAGACGAGCAGAAACCAACCAAAGTGGCGCGCGTGCAAAATGCCTCCAATCGGATGATTGCTTCTTTTTTAATAAAACTGGATACGTGGCTACTGTTGCTTTGGAGAATGGTTGTGCCGTGAATAGTGATTGGTACACGACTATTTGTTTGCCGAAAGTTATTGATAAACTCCGTAAAAATAACCGGAAAGGCCGTATCATCTTGCAGCACTATAATGCCAGTTCTCACACGGCCAGGCAAACAATTGAAGTGAAAACATTTTTGAAGGTGAACAACGTTGACCTTATGAACCATCCTGCGTATAGTCCCGACCTGGCACCTTGTGTCTATTATTTATTTCCAAAAATTAAGAACCAGTTACGCAGTCAACGATTTTCATCACCTGAAGAAGCTGTCGAAGAGTATGAAAAATAAGTTTCAGAGATTGTCACGGAGAAGTGGCATAAATGTTTTCGAAATTGGCTCATTCGTATGAAAAATTGCATTAACGCTAAGGGAAAATATTTTGAAAAAGAATAAATTCATTTCTGACCATTTATAGTATTTTTTTCTTATTCTTTCCGGAAACTTATAGTGCGCCCCACGTATACTGCTTCAACTCTATTTATAATTTCACCCAAACGATAACTTTACTATTATAATTTGATTATGCATGATAGAATTAATAATAAAAAATAATTAATAAAACGTAGTTTATTATTATTATTATTATTCAATTTATTTGGTCAGTCAACAATTGTTACACCAATAAAAGATCAGAAAACATACATGCAAAAAAAACTTATAACTAAGTGCACAATCTATTATAGGCCGACACTACATGCATAATAAATTGTTGCAGAGTAAAATGAAACTTACAAAAAGAAGTTTTTTAGAAAAGAGTCAGGGAATAATTTTAAGGTTTTCTTGAATACTTTAAAAAATAATTCATTAAAGCCGCTGCACAACTAAAGATAATATAACATTAGGATATGATGACTATTGTAAATCAATTCAGTTTACGATTATGCTAATTTTATTATAAAATAACTACCCCAAAAGTTCGTGGAATTACATTACTATTATTTTATTTTATTGAAATCACTTACGGGTGGAATATTTTCATCAAATCTGAATGAGATCAAGACTGAGGTAGGTACCCTTTTTCCAACAAAAAAGAAACATTAAAATCGACTCATAAATGCTGTAAATGAATCATTGCGAAACATACATAAAAATACGGACTAATTGAGACCTCCTCCTTTTTTGAAGTCGGTTATAACATGGTTTTTTATTATTATATTAATTCACACACACACAGCGTTGTTAAATAATAATTTGTCTATAATCGAGAAGTACATATTGCAAAATAGAATCTACATATACCTATACGTTAAAACTATATTCATTATGACGTACCTATATAGGTTTTTATTTAAAATTATTTATTCAAAACACAATACTGAAATGAAAACTATAGTAAGATTGATTTTAAAAATCCTTTGAAAGGTTTATACGAAGTTACAATGTATCGCAAAACAACTCAAGTAGCACTTTTATAAACTTGTTTGCATTTCTTAGCATTAGTAAGCATATCTACATATAGGTGTACAGGTATTTTATTGAGAATATCAGGCAGTACCTACGTACCTCGCAGTCTTCATACCGTAGTAGGTATGCACTAGTGATTCTGGGCTGTTGATACGTAGGTCGGTACATCAATGGTACATAATGACACGCATTGGACTTGGTCTGCGCGTGTTCATTAAAAAACTGATACGTATTCGGTATTGTAGGATCGTTTAATATTATATAGGTATAACGAGACAATATAATCAACGGAAACGATAAAGTACTATAACAGAAAGAGTAGGTGAGAGTCCTACAGGGTAGTATTATTGATCCACAAATATTTATAATATACATATGTTCTTCCTAAATAAAAGAAGAAACACTCGCATGTAGTCTTTGAAAATGATGCTGCAGTTTCGTTTGTAAAGCAAAACCAAAAGAAATATAATTTTGAGCAAAACAAACTAGAAAAATTTACGTTACTGTAGTAAGACAGAAATTTACAGCTTGCTTTAGAAAGACAAAACTAACGCTACGTTTATGTTAGAAATGTTTTTGTTACTGTATCTCGCGCCTGCAATGATTTATTTTATGGCATTAATACATATTTTATTTAAAATAAAACTTAATTTGTTTTCTCTCAGAAAATGAAACATTTATCAAGGCTTATCCTATTTATCGTGGTTGTATCTATTTGAACGAAATGTCTAAACATGTAGTAGTAGTTCGTTTATACAAAAAAAAATTAAAGTTTGTATATATCATAAAGGGAGTGATATTGAACTTATCTCAATAGCTATTGAGATAAGTTCAATATCACTCCCTTTCAAAAAGCTTGTAGGAAGAGTTGTGGCGGTGAATAAGCTGCATATATGATATTGGACCGTTATTGATTTTACCATTAGGCGCTGACTTGGTAATTTAGGGTTGGACCTTAACTGTAGGCATGCATCATTGCTGTACATACGAAACGTGTCTTTACTTTGCTGAAATTTTATGCAGCCCTCTAGCTTAGCTCTTGCTGAAATTTTATGAGTTCCATTACAATGGCATAACAGTTGTATAAAGTGCTTCATAAGTTGCAATAAGTGATTAGCATCATATTAATGTAACTTAACTTCACTTTTGGGAAGATGGAGCAAATGAATGCGAGCTGACAAATAAGTCAAAAGATAATTGTATAAATACAATATATATAAACTTCAAGACACATAATTCGAGCCACCTCGTATCAGTATTAAATGCTCTAAGCTTAAACAATGTTAGATTGATCAAGAACTATCCTACGCAATTTTGAAATTAGTATATTAAAAATCTTTTCCATAAGTCCTTGTTGGAAATTTGGAGTTGCAAAACCGGGGGAAACCTTATTCTTCGATGATAAAACTATTTTTGTATTCTAGCCCTTTAAGGCAAAAACGGGAGGTGGCTCGAATTATGTGCCCGGGACTATATATAAAAAATAAAGTGAGCTTTAAATCAGCCATCTTTAAAATAGTTATAGTGATAAAACTTTTAACGTATACCTTATTATTGCGTTAATATTTAAGCGGCTAAATACGCTTTCAAATTCACTGTTAATTATGTAGCTTTTCGATTAACTATAACACGCGTTTAAACTAGTATTTGCATATTAAATACCAGGTATGTTACTGATTGTTATTGAATATTAAATAAAATTATTAGTTATCATTTGAGGTGGGTCTTAATTATAATATATAATCGAAAAGATACCCGTCTCTACGTGATACGGTGTCTCCAGCGGTGAATACTTGCCAGGTGAAGCCTGAAAACCAGCAAATTGCCGTGGATTTTTCGTTTTCTTCGATAAAGATTTAAGCATTGTTTTATCTTAAATGTTGTGTGTTTTCTGTTCAAGAAGTTTTGTGGTATTTTTATTTTATTTATTTATTTATCGACAGCTTACTCCCTATAATTAGTTCTTAGAACATTGACAAAAATAAAATAATCTTCACTAAAATAATTCGAAAAAGACCACAAAGAATTTTAATTTATAAGGAAGTACATAAGATGCACTTTCATTGAACATAATGTCCAAAAAAAAATTTCCCTTGATTTCCATAAAAACCTATGAATAAATCTAATTGCAACAACTTTCTACTCATAAGGGGAATTGATTTCTCACTTATACCATACTAACACATACTGACATAAGGAAATATTTTTCCACTAAAACGAATTCTAACATGGTATACGAGTAGGTAAATATAATCTCGCCAGTAAAAAGACAATTTATTACCAGTAAAATATTTTTTTATTTAATTAAACGAACTTTCAAGGCATCTTGTGTCCCATTAACACTAAACGCGTAAGTGGTTAATGGATGGAACTAATATAAACCGAAAGGTGGTATCTTCGATATTGCCAAAACAGTTATGCAACTTAAAAATTGTTTACCGAATTCTAAACCGCTATATTATATCAATGAAAGTAGTAATAGGATGCAATTTCCACCAGTGTGTTGGTTGCATGCCTACATAGTATAGCACGCACTTATAACGTTGTGTTGTTATTGATTTTATAATCAAAGGCCTGCTCAATAATGTGGTTTCCATTTCTAAGCTATTTGTAGAGTGAGTCCAGGTATACTGGTTGAGTACGTAGATAGAATAGTAGAAGAGTCACGATTGTTTTTGAAAGACTGCTACTTAGTATTATTATGACTATAATTATATATTCGTATACCATACGTAACATATGAATTTAAATTTGAGCAGTAGAGCTCTTTGTGAAAGAGGTCGTCTAGGAAAGTACTCCTACCTTACCTATTTCTGCCGCCAAGCAGTTATGTGAGCATTACAATTACAAAGGTGCTGGTGAAATGACAGGCACACGGGATTGTCAACTTGTCTCAGGGTGACAGGCGCAGTGGCAGTGCCCCTAAGATGTTTGCGATTTAAAGCTCTGAGTGACACTGCAATTGTTATGGATAGGCATTTTGCTTACCACCATGAGCGCGATTTGTTCATGCCGTCACTTGGTACTATAAAAAAGTTCCATAATGAACAGGCGTGTCGCTGAATATCAGACACACGACAATGGACATTATTGTTATTACTTTGCAATCCTCATAATGTCATAAGATACTTGCTTAAAGAAACACGTTGCCTGCTTACAGGTAGTTGGTTCTTGCATGTAACTATAATAGTTGCACGCTAATGCGCAAGCACATAAAGAAATATACATGTATTAACTTGTCGTTGCCGATTACCGGGACTCGGTCGATTGCAGTTTTTATATAATCAAGAGTTACAAAAAATGGAATCCGATATTTGAATGGCTTTGAAATTTAAACCATTTATTTCCACACACATTAATTACTAACAAAACTGAGCTTAAAAGATTACTTATAAATGCAAAAATAAATTAAATATATACATATATACATTAAATTATTTGTTACAGTCTCAGCATTTACAGCGGCAGAAGTCGCTAAGCGCTGTTTTTCAGCCTGCTCCCGATCTTTGCAAACACATTTGTAATAGCACTTGTTTCGCAAACTTAGTAGTTGGTAACATTATAAAGCTAAATCTGAATAAATAATAAATAATTCCTTTCAGTTAAATTTAATAAAGAATCTCTCTATTTAAACATCATTCAATCATCATTCAAGTTCGAAAAGACGCTTAGTAGAATAAGAGAGTTCCGTAGCAACAGTAATGTTATTGACACGTATTGAAAGGAAATCGGTTTCAAAATTAAACGGGATGGCAAGTATTTCAACCCTCATTTTTTTTTATTGTTGTGGAATATTTCAAAAATATATAACAAGCTCCCAGTCTCTAATTGCGCTATTTTTGCGTGCGCAATATCCGTAAGTTGCATAAATATTCCTCGTAAAATGTAATACGATTAAGTCACTTTTTTTTCTATTAACATCTGAGAGACCAACTGGTCTCTTTTTACATTTAAAATAAACAGTAGAGAGCAGAATAAAATCTTTGTCCAACGAATGATTTTCAGTAGAGCCAGATTTGTCCTATTTCTTTATGTAGATTAACCAATATCCGGATCGGTATCGATCTGTACTCTGATTTATCGTAGCGAGAGTAGTGACTGGAAAGATTGTTCTAGCACACTAAACACAGAGAGAAATGCACCGCGATGCTCTGAGGTCGGTCTCGGAGCATTGCAATTAATACCTTATTTCGATTGAAATAGCATAGAACATAATATGTTGGTAAATTTAATATTCTCTGCTTCCCGTCCGCCGGTTTGATCTGGCCCTAAGGGTTTAGTTACGCGCGCTGTATTTCGATTGCGGTGCAACTGACGAATGATAATCCGAAACAGTACAGTTCTACGTACGACTGTACAGACGTACAGTTGTACGTAGAACTTTACCTCGTGCAGAGACCTGCATCCACCCTAGCTGTAACTGTAATATAACAGCCAGTGCAAGCAGGACCGATCATCAATAAAGAAAATATAGCTTACCCATAAAGGCAGAAGGGATGACGCTCAGGAAAAGTTTTTGACTTCTTACAGGTACACCTGTATCCGGATCTTGCATTTCTTTTATCAAACTTTCCATCTGAAAAACGACAGTTAATTTCCATAAGAGTGGTTAAATATGGTGACTTTTAAACGCGCGATTGCATCGATGGAGTTGCTCGTGTTGAATAGTTAAAGACGTGCAGCTGTATCGATGCAAACGCGTTGTTGAATCGATGCTTACGCTCATTTGAATCGATGCAGACACGCGTGTGCATCGCAACGACATTGTGCAAACGGGTGAAGCGCCAATACCATAAAAATTTGTCCGCTTGTTATAATCTAAAGAAGAAAAAACTTAAATGCGACTAGATTTTTTATTCTTGAGAGGTGTAGACCATTGTGCACAACATTCATTAAGAATGTTTTAAACATAAAAAGTATATAGGGCTTAAACTGTGCTAAACACAATTCTCCACGTCTTGACGCTACTGCATCGCGACTGAGTCAATGCAGACACGCTGCTAAAAGTTGTCGAGTGTCGCTCTAATTTGTGTTGTAATTTAGAATAACCTCTTTCCCGCATTAACTTGTACCTCATGCATTTTTTATACATGGAATGTTAAACTCTTACGTTGTAATTAATAGGTAAAATAAAATATGTACATTTTTTAACAGGTATTTTTACAATTGAAAAAGTTCATATTAAAGCTTTTCAATACATAAACCGGTTAATATAGATGGTCTACTTGAAGATTAGTGATAACCACTGCTCATCTAGGACTAGGATTATTACCCACAAATACTTACGACAGTACAAAGAAGTATAATTCCTGGCCCTAAGGGCGCGTTCAAATTAGCCGCGCTGCAGCAGCGCTGTCGCTCTGCTGAATTGCGACCGAATTTTTAGTGATGTTTTATCTTTCGACTCAGTTACACGATGGATTCTAACGAAGAAACGTTACTTTCACTTATTTTGTCAAAACTGAAGAAAAAAAAAATTAAAAAGAATATTAGAACGTATTAATATAATCGACAACGTATAATCGACATTGTCGATCGACAACGAGAATTATAGACATTTTCGAGTTGTTTGGGAGTGCTTATTGCGAATGTGGCTTAATTTCTAAATACAAGATGGTTGCCAAGAATTTTCAAAAATGTATTTTTGGCAATCCTTATGGAAATGGCATTTATATCTGAATACATGATGGCTAATACGACTTTTCTAAATGCAAGATTAGAAAAATCGTGCCCGCCATCTTGGATTTACAAATAAGTGCTATATTCATAATGAGCACCCCCCATACCTCGAAAACGATACCCAACTTGCTATTATTCGAAAAATCGTGCCCACCATCTGGGATTTAGAAATAAGTGCCATATTCGTAATGAGCATCCTCAAATACCTCGAAAAGGATATCCATATTGCATTCTTTTGAAAAATCGTGTCGGCCATCTTGGATTTACAAACAAGTGTTATATTCGTAATGAGCACCCCCAAATAACTCGAAAACGATACCCAACTTGCCATTGTTCGAAAAATCGTGCTCACCATCTTGGATTTAGAAATAAGTGCCATATTCGTAATGAGCATCCCCAAATACCTCGAAAAGGATACCCAAATTGCATTTTTTTTGATAAATCTAGTCCGCCATCTTGGATTTACAAATAAGTGCTACATTCGTAATGAGCACCCTTAAATATGTCGAAAACGATACCCAATTTGCCATTATTTGAGAAATCGTGCTCGCCATTTAGAAATGCGAAAAGTCGTGTCAACCATCATGTATTCAGATATAAATGCCATTTCCATAAGGATTACCAAAAATAATTTTTTGAAAATTCTTGGCAAACATCTTGGTTTTAGAAATTAATGCCACATTCTCAATGAGCACTCCCAAACAACTGGAAACGTCTATAGTTCTCGTTGTTGATCGACAATGTCGTAGGCACCTGAATCCGTTCGTTACCTTTATTTTGCCAAAATAATCAAAATGATTAAATAGTTACAAAACTCGATTTACGAAAAATATTTAGGAATAGTTTTCGCCTTCTTTACGGGTTTTTATGGGATTTTTACGTTTGTTTAACACTATTCTTCACACTTGTATTCAGAACCAAAAGGTATATAGTTAAGGGGGGTCAGAGTTCTTGAGGCACACACTTCACGTATAGATATTGAAAACTACTCACAACTTACTATGTTTTTCATTTGTAGTTTTAGTTTCAAATTTGTCAATAAATTTGTCAATAAATTTTAGACATAAATTTTCCCATGCTTTTTTTCCAGCCGATTAGAATAACTGGCGGAACTGATATCCCATATTGCAAGGTGTTGTTCTGCACTCACTGTAAATTCTTCAACTCGATTTTCGTCCATCGTAGTTAATTTGAAAGATTAACATGTACACCTCACTAACCGTGATGCAACCGAATATGGCTGCAGCGCGACTGTCAAGCGGCCGCCGCGTGGCCGCCGCGTGGCCGCCGCGTGGCCGCCGCGTGGCCGCCGCGTGGCCGCCGCGCGGTTGCAGCGCTTCGAGAAATTGTATGAAAAGTGACAATCGCGCGGCCGTCGCGCGACCGCCACGCGGCTTCAGCGCTGCTGCAGCGCGGCTATCAGCGGCTAATTTGAACGCGCCCTAAGACTATACGTCTTTTATCTCAAAATTATACACATATTATAGGTGCCTATGAGTTTTATTCGTATGATTTATAATATAATAATATAATAATATAACGCACATGAAACCCTGTATCGCGGGTACCATGGACACACACGTAGACAACCACAAATCACACCCAAACTCACGAGAGAAATGAATGTATGCCACAAATATTTTTCCCGGCCCCGGAACCGAACCCGGCAACTCAACGTGTCACGGCGTGGCAGTCCAACATGATAATCGTTCGGCCACGGAGCCAGTTACAACATTTTCTTCAGTTATATAATCAAATAATTAAATAAATAAATAAATAACGCACACACTCAACATAGCCCCAAGCTAGGGAAACCCTGTGTCGCGGGTGCCATGGACACACACATAGACAACCACAAATTACACCCAAACTCACGAGAGAAATAATTGTAGGCCATACAACTATTTCTCCCGGCCCGGGAATCTAACCTGGGACCTCTGCGTGGCAGTCCGGCATGGTATCCGTTCGGCTACGGAGGCAGTAAATTACATAGTGTTGACCCTTTACTATAATATAACAAAAAATAAATACATTTTCGAGGTAAGTACGACTCAAAGTTGAGATATCAGATATAACAGTGGTTCAGATCGCTGATGTTGATAGAAGCATTGAGTCATAGATAAAATCGCTCAAACAATGGCATTAAAGCCTTAAAAATTTTTAAACCTCATCATCAAATGACGTCATTCGTGTCCTTAGGCCAACGCGCACTTGATGCCTGAAGTCGAAACTCGTGAGCAAGAGAGTGCTGCCACAAGAGGTGGTCGAGAGCACTCTGGTCAATCAGGAGCCAGCGATAAAGCCGCTGCAATCTCTATTCGAAGATCGATCATGTGCTGTAACGTTGTTATAATTCCAGTGGCAACTTACAACGGTATAATATTAAATGGTTTCTTACAAAATTTTGACAACAGTTTTCCAGAGGTTTTTTTTAACAATTAATTATAATTCAAAGTCCGTCCCTCAAAAACACCGTTAAGTAGAGCGAATCTCTGTCGAATATTATAAAAGCTTTTCCTTAATTATACTGTTGTATTGATACCTACTCGTATACTTATAGATTTTTGCACAGGTTCAGTTTCAGCTATGTGGTATAATGCTAAGCGCTTCATGGTAGTTGATTATTCTTGTTAAACTACCTTTTAGTATGCCACAGTTTTACGTGCACCAATAACAGATGTTAAAACTTAGTCAATAAGTGTAGATGCCTTAATACAGTTAGTAAAAGAAGTCTAAATATAGGAAACTCTAATGAGTTAACGAACACAGATAGATTGAATCTGGCCGAGATAGTAGGTAATTCCTCCCATAGTAAGCATCAATTGAGTGTTCAATGATTCGACAAATTGTTTGATGTCGGGAGTATTGTGGGAATTCGGAGTGGACGCGATTCGTGATTCGTCCCCGGAGACGGGAGTCTAAGTTGATGACGTCACGGGCGCGATCGATCGCAGCGCTTGGGCGGGCGGGTCACATCTCGCGATCCCGACTACTGCCTCCGACCTCCAACCACTTTCACCTCGGCTTCCCCCCATCGCCGTACGATTCATTACACCTAAAGATTTTTGTTTTGAATGTCTCCATCACCTTTATTGAATTTCAAATCTTAGTGCCTCATAAAACTTAGGTTCAAATTGACAGTGATATTTTCAATAAATTTTAAGTGTTCTCTCAACGCTAGAAAAACCTTGTTTACAAAGTACTTTTTCGATCTCAACGGCCTTGTATCGTTAACAATCGATTGAAAAGCTTCTAGCCCAAGAAACCTAGGCTCTACTTCCTAAAATGACCGTGCCTAATAGTATACGGGTTACACCCACAAAAGTGTTCAACGAACGCGGGGGACAAGCAGTTTTTGAGGCTATTGCATACCCTACCTATTGGTAGGGTAGCGAGCGGGAGGGCGTGCAAAACTGCGTGGAAGGTCGTACCGCCTGCCCTAATTCGCAGCCCTTTTACTTTTTGCCGGATTGAAAAATCAAAATTGGACGACCATTCATAAAAAATTTAAGTCGATCGAGAGATTGGAATGGCAGTAGGATTTTTAACCGACTTCATTGATGTAAATATTGGTTTTTGTTAGCAGTAGACAAGTATATTATGAAGTCATCATCCCCAACACGAGTTACCCGACTCTCGCTTTTTGTCACATCCTTTGTTATCTGGCATGATTCCAAAGGCAACGCTTTCTCGCTTCTTGTGGGTATAATTTGTCTCATCGCTGTATGAGGAAGATGTTTTCTTTCTTGCCAAAAAAAACTACTTTCGAAGACTTTGCCTACTGAGGATTTCTGTCCAATATAAATATTGTTGTACAAGCATAAATTTGAAAAGGAATCAAAGTAGTACAGAACAACAAAAAAAAGTGTTTTTAAAATCAAATGTGGTTATTGTTATGGGAAATGTGTTGTTGAAACCCTTGTCAACGGCGACAATGATCCTCGCCGTGCGTTTGGGCTTCGTACAATACGACGTGGGGGTAGTTAACTTGTAAATCAAATACAATAAATAGTAAGTCTAATTGACAATGTTTTATTTCTCGCTCCTAGGTACTTAATCGCCGCCATAGGTGATTAATTGCGTGGCAGATATGATGAAATTAAATCCCTGTTAAAGGAAAGACATATTACGACCGTAAAACTAGATGACCACAACTTGCCACAAGGCTAGTTTCCGAGAAGTGTTTGCGCAAAACGGGGGAAACAAGGTCACTAACCGACGACACTGAACATGGGTAATCCAAGGTCGTAACTCGATACCAATCCATAACTATGCAGTAATAATTTACATAATTTTTCAATTGTTCATTATTGTCTTCAGATACTCCTACAAGTACATAGATTAGTAACAAATATTCAGAACGGAGGGATATTTTCCTCGGTACAATGAACGACAAAGTGAGATTAATAGCGGCAGCAGTGGAGCGTCGAGAGGCGTTCGGAACCCTAAAATTTATCAGCAAATCCCAGCTCAGCTTTTAAGTTATGCGGGTAGCGTGCAAGCGAGCGGCGACTTGGTGGACCAGCAGCACATCGGGTGAAGCGAACTCTATCGATTTTCAGATAGAGCCGGAGGCTCGCACTAGCTACTCGACGTTAAAAATAAATGGAGGAAGGTACCGCTTACCACTTCGACAATGCATAATGTAGAGTTGTTAAGTGCTCTTTGCGCTGCCCGTTTTAGGAGCGCGCCGTTTGTAGAAGGTAGACGAGCAGATAATTTATTAACGCAATACTCAAAATAACGAATACAATTGATACCTACGTTATAAATGAACGTTAGTATTCTAGAACAAATACAGACTGACTAATATGCAATAAGTAAATGTGATATATGTAACTGACCTTATCGAAGGCGAGGGGTCGATGTCGAGGCACGTCAGTGAGTTCCATGGCGTCGGCGGGTCGGGGCAGGGAGAGCGGGCGCGGGGGCTGCGCGCGCGCCGCTAGCCGACCTCCATGGGCGTCTGCCGCAGGGGCCGCATGCCGCTCGCGCCCGCGCTGCGCCCCCGACACCTGTAAACACCACCAAACTTAAATGGTGCACGCTACGCTAAGCTAGACACTTTTATCATTACTTAAAGAATCGCCGTCGATACAATTTCCAATATCAAGAGATTTGCAACACACGATAGATAGATATGCTCATGGTAGCTTCGCTTTGATGTAGCTATAGTAATTCCTAAGTTTTCCATGCCTTCACAACAAATTTTCAACATCTGAAGTCCACCAATGTATCTGTATTTACATACTCTTTTGACTTTGTAACAATAAGAGGATTAACGGGACGAGCATTTAGAGGAATATAAAATAACAAATGCATTGACCTACCTACTAATTTATACCCCTATTTGGGTCAAAAAGAAAACGTTTACAAAGTCGATATTGGTTAGCGTCTAACACGTCTATTACACATCTATAGACTCATAATTGTAAAGTACCCTACAAATATACTCAGAGTCGTATTCCAGAACTCTACTCAATGCTCAAGTCAGGATTTGAGCAGACTTGAGTATGATTTCAAGCACTGGAAATACGACTCTAATGGCAAGGACTTGAGTGTGATTTCTAGTGCTCTTACTCCAGTCCTGACTTGAGCATTGAGTAGAGTTCTGGAATACGACCCACAGTCTAATGCCATCAATTATTAAAGGACACTTGAGGGTTCAAATTGCGGCTATTCTACAGCATCACGGCCGCTTGCACCGTCACATACTCGTAAGGGTAATGTCAACTTTGATAATTTTAAATGAACAGTCATATGCAAATTATTTGACACGCACTGATTGAAGCAATTACGTACAAAAATAAATAGCCTCATAAATAGAAATAACGGTCATACGGTAACTTTAAAGATCTTCATTATTAATTTCTATTATCAACGCCGTAAGCAGACATACGTAGGTATAGAAGTTACTTTATTAGCCTAAAACATAGGTTCCCAAATTTTTTGGCTCACAGCCCTCCTAGTCAAGATAAAAAAATTTCAACGCCCACCTCTTCAAAAAAAAAATTGAAAACACGTATTTTTTATATTAATTTACCACAGAAAATCACAAGGATAAAAAATTATGTAGGTAGTGTAGTTTATATAGATCATTCAGGTTTTTTTAAATGCCGTAGCACTCCCTGGACAGCATTAACGGCCCCCAATCGCTTCCGGGGCGTCTACCCCCTAGGACTCTTCAGCGCCCACTGGGGGCAGTAGGGACCACTTTGGGAAACTATGGCCTAAAGTATTGCACAATATAATATAAATACTTGCATATACAAGTAGGTATACCATTCGACATTAACTCTCACAAAATTTAATACAGATGACTGTGTAGTAGCAATGGAGCGTGACAACTATATTATGTATACTTAATTGATTCACATAACGTTCTTAACCAATGAGTGTGAGCGTTCCTTAGGGACAATCGCAGCGTTGTTTATTGCCAAACGAATACACCACCAGCTGTTGGCTACTCTGTGATCAGAAAACACACAAATAGTCCTATCCACCGTTCGCTAGATAAATAAATAATTCATAGCTGATACGGAATTAGCTTTCTCGATTCGAAAATTGTAAAATGAGTTGATTGGTTGGATTAAGCATTAAAATTTATGTGCTTCGATTTGTATCCAACAAGAAAGTAAAAAGAGTACAGTTACATAGAATAATTTGTACCGCGCTAACGCTGGCAACATTTTCCTAGCCCTTAAGAAAATGTTTGTAATTATAGTTAAAACCAGAATAATAGCCCAAGGACGCAGTAAAAGATCCATGATCTACCAAAGATAAAAACCATACCCACGGCGCCGTACAGAAATGACATAATATAGCTAGATTTATAGAAAAATATGTGTATTTTACAAAGGTACTGTAGGTATGTGTCGCTTTACTATGGGTACTTGGAATTATGGAATAAAAAAATGTATTTTTATGTGTAAAATGTGAATGGTAATATTTGTGTGTTTTGTATTTATTGTTGATCACCCAGAGAACGATTTCGGTCTTTCTTACTACTACTGACCGCGCTGTGTTCGCGTCCGAATGTCATGATGATGTTTATGTTGACAAAAAATCCGACAATAACCTAATTAGGGTTATCAGATAATTAAAAATATGTTTAATAGCAAATCTTTATTGCCTAATTAACCCCGTAGATTTATTCAATATTTTTTACGTAAAATGATAAAACTAATGTGGTTTTTGTACGCAAACATTTATTAACCGGCCGACACTAAGGGGCATGATCTTTCTTTTAAAAAACGAATTATTAATTTAGGGCAACGAAGGAATATAATAATGAAAATGTATGAAATGATATTCGCGTGGAAAGTATTATCTAAGATCGTTTAGAAATGGCATTGGATCCCTCGCTTTGCAGTCTGTCGGTGCCCATATTTCATTTCATGATGTAAAAGTGCCTATATTCCGTGGTAGAAACGTAACTAAAAATAATTCCGAGATTGTGAGTTACTTTAATATTGTGATTACTCAATATTGTAAGTATTTGTGGTGTACGCGCAACAGAATAGCGCTGAATAACACTCGTGGCTAAAAATGCCTCCAGTCGTGCCGATTAGATCATTGACGTAGAAAGAATAAATAAAACGTTTTATACCTTGATAAGCCATGCTGATGAATTCACGAATTCATCTACCGATGTCATTTGGGATTATTTATCTGAAACATTACATTGTCGGAATCAAAATAATGCTCGCCTTTAGTTTTCCATAATAGTTAAATAAACCGCGCGTAGAAGTAATCTCGCGTACGTATAATTATAAAACGAATTCTTCAATAGGCACATGTTAATTTATATAAAAGACAAAGCGCAGTTGTAAAATATCACTAACCTCATCCAACAGATGTGTGTTGAAGATAGAGCTTCACTGTTCACTATGACTGGGATATAGATCATTTATCTGTCGTGATCCCATAGCGGAACTCATGTCTAAAACATGTACACCGCTGTTTATCTCTATACTAGAAGCTGTATTTTCATCTATATTATAATAATACATTATTAAATACCGTCTCCAATTGTTTCGTATGTAGAGTAGTGGATGAAAATAGCTTTATTACGACGTTTTAATTCACAAAAACGAAAGGAGATGATCGATGGTGCATGAAAGTCGAGTTGTTTACTATTCATTTGACTTGAAACATTACAATGGACACGATACTCGTGTAAACACAGCCGTTTTCCTGTTAACACTAGTGTATTGTAGTTCAGTGGAATCTGTGACGACACCGGAAGCACAGTTAGTGTTGTTTTCACGACTATGATGCGCACTGAGTGAAATCAAACCTGCACTGTACGATTACACCGTAGTTGCGCGGCGGCACATGTAACACGTTCGACAAATTGCTATTGTTTAGCGGCCTCAGACGAGGGCCCCGCAATATCTTGTGATAAAACAGATAACGCGATGTCTGCAAAATTCTCTTCTCAAGTCGTAAATTTTAGACTCGTGGAGGAATTTCGGGGGCTTAGAAACCTTTAGATAAGTGAGATAAAATCTGAATCGTGCACGAGAGGCACCTCATTGGAGGATTTTTTTTCTAAAACGCCATAATTTTCATTGCCGTGGAATTACTCTAACGAGTGTGTTTCAAATATTACGTATAGGCTTTTAAATAATTATCTGAAGTATATTGTGTCCCTTAACAAACAGATTCGAGTTTCATCAACCATGAGCTCTGAAATTAAAATAAATTTATCAATGCTTTCAACTTATAATGTAATTAGTGGCGACATTATTATGGATCATGTTATGATATGATGATCATCATATTAATACTAACATTATTATGGATCATGGTCCGAAATAAATAATTCTATTCTATTCTATTCTATTATTGAAATTTTCGGTGTTATATTTGTTGAAAATAGTACCAGTGCATTGAATCAACCTTTTCAATTACTGTGGGTACGTGGTACATTGATGCAAAGTAAGTCAGTGAACCCGGGGTCGGATATATTTGGAGCGGCCTTCTAGTGGGCCGGTAGTTCGCTGTGATATCCAGCCCATTGAACTGTTACCACGACCTAAAAACTTTATTGATTTGCCCAAAAATACACCGCAGAGGTGCTAATTCTGCGACATTATACCGGTCTTCCTTAGGATAAAACTTATGAATCATATCGAACTGATCACGGGTTTGTCGAACATCAGTTATAAAGTTCTTCGAAGCGGGTACAAATATTTCGCTTCGTTTGTCCAATATAATTTATCATCTCAGTCACCCGTGACCATGGGACCTGTAAAGGGCCCGAAACGTTGGTTTGTTTGAAAAAACAATTGTACATGAATTAGATCCGAAAAAACAGATTTAGTTTCCTATGTGTAAGAATCGCGAAAACCTAAAAACTCGATATAATATTTATTTCAAATTTCAATTTGTAGACCGAGACCACCTGCAAGAGAAAAACAGGTTACTACCACAGATTTTGGTTATCGAAATATGCATAAGCGTGTAACTTTCAGTGTAAAGTTTTTGTTTCACTATAGTTTTAAACCTCATAAATAGCAAATTTTGAATATCAACCGCCATCTTATTAAAGAAACATATACATTTGTAACTACGTAAAGACGACTATCCAGGCCAGCTAGTTTGTTCCTCGTATTAATGTTTATGTACATCACTATTTTTCATTAATTTCTTTTTAACATAAATTAAATTTTCACAAAGGTACTGTACTGTGTAATGTAGTGTGTTGCTAGCATGAGAATGTTAATTTCTTTTGATCTCTTTCAAAGACATTTAAAAGGGAAAGATTGTAAATTGCCCTAACCGCACGTTGTTGCACGGCAAATATCCTATTAATATCGGCAACATTACTCACAAAGCAAAACTTACTTACAAGCCAAAATGCCACATGTCATTAAACTATGAAAGTAGCCAAAGTAAACCATTCTAGCGGTTTCTACGTCTGAAAGTTTTCGAATTTTTTTGATCGCATACACTGCAGAGCTGAGCCGTTTCGATAACTCAGTTATTTGTGGACCCCATTGCAAAGTTA